AGTGGTGTGCTGGTAAGTTTTAGTTACTTATTTGCATGTCTTTATCATGTATAATTTCTTTTGTGACACGGTAATATGAATTTACTAGTATTTATTGACGAAATTTTTGGGGCATTAATTGCAATTTAGTTAAAAAAAAATAGGACATTTTTAGTCGGTATACTGTATTGTTAATAATTTAGAATACGAAACTCGCAATTATTTGTTAACTGACATCTGCCCGTGAATTCACTGACATGAAAAGAATCAAAAAAAACCTTGCCTGTGTTCGTAAAACGTCTCATAACTTAGCCCTTAGCTCATAAGCCCGTGCTTATTAATGAGGCAGTTTACTTTTACGGAATTTATACTACCTCCCGTTTATTTTTATCAAAAACAATAATACGAAATAAACTTTACTCTTTTTTCAGCACTATGCAATCACGAAGTGCAAAATTAGTTAGTGCTGCTTTACGCAACGATATTTCTGTAGCCGAGTGGTCTATCGTGCCGTCAACAAACAGTGGCATTCAAAACTCGGTGCAAGCATCAAGCTCGGAGCATGTTGTGGTGCCGCACTCTTTGCTAGATACAGGGTCTGATTTTGATTCTGATGACTCAGTATTGGATAAAACTTACGAATTACCAAAAGCACGGGAAAAAATCAGCGATAGTGATGGCTTTGACTCAGAAGACTTTATACCATGTTCGCAGCCAATTTCAAAAAGAATAATTTTAGAATCACCGGAATACTCAGATGAAGAAACAACGGTACAACTGACTAAGAAAGGAACTATTAGAAAGCGCAAAACTTGAAGTATAGTTTTTACGGAATTTATCGCGTGTATTTAACTTTTTAATTACCCGACGTTTCGAACGCTTTACAGCACTCATGGTCACGGGCAGGACTGAGATGTTCAACCTTAGAGCATACATTAATTACATGGAGGGAGCACTGTGTGAGCAGAAAGCGTGATCGGTGCTCTAAGGTTTAGGTAGAGTCTGTCTCTCTCGCACATGCTTCTGATTGGCTGGCGTGTTTTCCACCGTTGCATCGCGCGAATGAAACAGCCAATGACAGTGACTGTGCGAGAGAGACAGACTCTACCTAAACTCAGTCTCTCTCTCTCTACGCCGATCACGCTTTCTGCTCACACAGTGCTCCCTCCATGTAATGTATGCTCTAAGTGTTCAACGTCCATATGTCATAGTTAACCGCGGTTACCATAGATTAAAATTTAACTTTTGTTCCGATCTATGCAGTATGAACTTATGGTATCTTGAAGTCTTGCAGTTGTATGCTTGGGTTGGGATTTAATTTTATTTATTATAGGATTCCAAGCAGATGGTAGCACCCAGCCATCTTCTCTATTGAAATTAGGATGTTTTTTGATTTCAATAGCCTCGCGAATCATCCTTGGAAGGAATCGGTGTTCTTTAGCGAGGATCTGCGGTCTATCAAATCTGATGTAGTGACGGGGGCGATCCTGTACGTGTTCACAGACTGCAGACTTCCCGGAGCGTCGATTCCTCACATCAGCTATATGTTCTTTAACGCGGGTTTTTATTGATCTTTTAGTTTGTCCTATGTAGGAGAGACCACATTCACAATCAAGCTTGTACATTCCTGCATCTTGCAGAGGGACATTACACTTGACTGATAGTAAAAACTGACCAATATTCTTCAGCGGCTTGAAGTATGTTTTGATGGAAGCGCGCTTCAAGATGTAGCCAATCTTGTGAGTGACCTGGTATATTCAAAATTACCGATTCTGTTATCTGCATTGAAATTTTTCTTCAAAATGTGAGTGGCACATGGCGATACTTGGAAGCATAGCTTGGAAGTTGAATATATTTTCGAGGTCAAGTAAATCACCGCCAATTGCATAAAGCCATACCCTAAATCGTTCACTATCGTTTTCTGGGTTTGTAATTCTGTTATCTGCATTGAAATTTTTCTTCAAAATGTGAGTGGCACATGGCGATACTTGGAAGCATAGCTTGGAAGTTGAATATATTTTCGAGGTCAAGTAAATCACCGCCAATTGCATAAAGCCATACCCTAAATCGTTCACTATCGTTTTCTGGGTTTGGAAATCCGTGAAGAACATGATGCATGCATAAAATATTTAAGAGATACTTATAAAAGATAACACTTATTTATTTAACACTTATGTATATGAGAAATAATGCCCTTGATGCAAGTTATTTAGACGAGATGATATACCGTCACTTTACGGCTCTGGTTTCTGGACCTACCGAGCCTATCCTTTCTTTGGGAATCTTCATTTTATGTTCTTTTTCTACACAATATGCTGATGCGCCACATTGCGAAGCCCTTGGGAGATTTTGACGACAGCTCAACCTAGCGGACAGTTGATGACGACAGCCACTCAAGTTCATGAGGCGCCCAAGCGATCAAAATAACTTGAGGTTTATATCGACATCAAAGCACTTGTTTCGTCGTGTTCTCTAATAGTTCACACGCGCGGATACTTAATTCACAAAATCGCATCACTTTTACGAATCAAAATCCACTTCAAACCATTATTCAAGCGACAAAACAGGAGCGACAATCCGTCTACGGCCAAGTTCCCGCCAAAAAAACTCCCGTCATTGTCCTTAAATCCGGGAACACAGCTAAGCTTACCTGACATATTTATTTACAAAATGTCACAAAAAAAACAAATAATTGAAAATGGTTGTACGGGAAGCGTAAATAAATTCACGTGATGGCAGGAGGCAGGATGATGTGCTGCCAGATTGAATTTCAAAATATACCAAAAACATCTAGTTATGGTTTTTTAATGAATAGTTTTACGAAAGCACATGTAATCGGTATATATTTATAAGCACACGTTAAAAACTTTCATCGCAGATTTTTATTAACTTTAAACAAAAGAAAATATCTTAATTTCCGCTAAACTTAATTTCTACTAAATGGAATATTTTTTTTAAATATTTTGTAAATTTACCTACAGGTAGTAGCGACATCTAGTATCTGTTTAAGGAATTATATAGCTTGAATTTGAGAACAGCGTCACCTATTATTGTTAGTTATCTAGTATTGTTAGTTGGATAATATAATTTTATAATACGACCAAAATAAAAAGTAGTATATAGATATGGTTTTAAATAGTTTGCTAAGTGCGTCTTAATTTTGCATAATAGCATTTCATTGGTTTCCAAGATTAATGTTCTAAAATTGTAGAGCCTGAATAACGGTTTGAAGTGGATTTTGATTCGTAAAAGTGATGCGATTTTGTGAATTAAGTGTCCGCGCGTGTAAACAATTAGAGAAAACTACGAAACAAGTGCTTTGATGTCGATATAAACCTCAAGTTATTTTGATCGCTTAGGCGCCTTATGACCTTATGAACTTGAGTGGCTCGCGTCACCAACTGTCCGCTGGGTTGAGCTGTCGTCAAAATCTCCCAAAGGCTTCGCAATGTGACGCATCAGCATATTGTGAAGAAAAGAAATAACGCGGGAACCTTGAAACTGGACTGATAAATCTATATGGATTGAAACTTAAAATGATTATAATATAAAGAAGACTTTAGCCTTTGTGGTTTTTGAAAATATGAAGAATTAAAGAAAATAAGACTTGGTTTCGGCCTTTATGGATTTTGAAGTAATGGAAAGAAGAAAAATAAGACTTGGGTCCGGTCTTTATACTTCAAAATTCTTTACAACGTGTTCCTACAATGGTGACTTTATTTTAACACATATACTCGTACGTTTTCACATTTTCATTTCATACAGATATTATATTAACATTAAACGTTATTATTTACGGATTTATTTGAAATTTTAGAAAATAGCATCTTAGAGCAACCTGTACGTAGAGAACTGCCGCGCAGCGGTTATTTGGCGGGGTCACGGATCATAGCATTGCATCACTGAAATTAAAAGGAATAATCAATACTATTGAAGGAAAGAAACTTTGTCAGCAAGCGGGCGGCGCAAGCGACGTGTGCCCCTCACCCCGCCGCACCGAAATCGAATTATTTTTTTGCATTTCTAGTGGTCGCCGAACCCGTGTCCTTGACACACATCTTCACAGTAGTGCCCATAATTACGTCGACTAATATTTTTTTAATGTTTCCGCGAAAAATATGCTTACCTATTGTTTTATTAATTAATTTTTGTGTAATTACGTTATGTTACTGTGATAAAGACTCTTTGTTTTGTATTCGTTTTCTAATCTAGTAGGTACGTTTACATCTCTTGTGATACGGACGCTTTTATTTGTGTTATTAGTGCTTGTGTAAACTTGTGATCGTAATGGCAAATACACATCTGTACTGGTTACTGAGTAAAATTGAAGAGGACTGTGACTTTCTTTCCCAAATTTGTTGGACTGACGAAAGCTCGTTCACCAGAAACGACATGTGGAACCAGCAAAATCTGCACCATTGGGCACCCAAACACCAAAATCGTCAATTAGTAGATACAGACCATCACGAGTACAAGGTTGTAAAATACCAGACGCATTGCGCGGTTGCCAGCTCGCAAAACGACGCGTTGCCGCTCCGACTTAACTAGGTAATTTTATTAATGAATTTTGGCAAGTGTGATCCTAATTTTAGTTAAATTTGTTATTTAGTTTGTTTGAAAAAAAATATTTTTCAATTTACGAGTAATTTTAATCTAACAAATTTAATATTATGATTAATGGGCACTAGCCCTACCCGTGTGTAAAATTTAAGTCACCATTGTAGGAACACGTTGTATATTCAAATTTAAAAAAATACAAGGCTGTATAGCTTAGTTCCTTTGCCTGCTCTCTCGAGCGACGAGCGAGTAATAAAACAACAACAATCAGCTGCATAGATTACTGACTATATACTAGAGAATCAGCTGTTTGCTGTTTGCCTGGCCTGCTTGAGCCTGCTTGCTATATATTACTCTACTCTATGGCTTGCACATTTGTTACCTGAGTTTTATCAAGTTATAACAAAGAATAGTGTTTTAAGAATAAGTTTTAAATAATCGTATAACTAAACTTTCCTACAGTAATGTCAGACAGTAAATCTTCCCTTCGCATAGACTGGTTTGACGGAACTCTTATACAAGATACAAGACAAAATGCAAACACTTCACAATTTGATGATGAAGAGTCATCAGAAAAACAAACACCATCAAGAATTGTCGACGTGGAGAAAAAACCTATTGGTTTTAAACGATTGATGGATCTATCTTTCCTAAAACCTCCAATATTAAACTTAGAAATATCTCACAGACCTGGTTTCTGGCATCTTTTCGATTCCGAACTAAAAGGAGATTTTATTGTCTTAATCGTAAAAATACTAAGCAGTGTATATACTACTTTAGAATCAGGAGAAAAATCGAAGCTTGCAATGTTACTTCAAACAAGATTTGTGAAATCTCCTTTTATGATTAACTTAAAAAAGTATTTAAGTAATTTGCCTACTGTAAGGATTGTTGAAAAAAGATTAAATATGCAATTGTGGAATGATGCTGAAACTTTTTATCTAAATGTTTATGAGCTATGTGAAGGTATGTTTAAATTTCATAAAAATGACATTGAAATATTAATAGAAATATTGGACTTATTGGAAATTACTGAAACTAGTGCTGTAGGTATAAGAGAAGAACATACTGAGACCATTAGAGATAGTTTCTTTACACAAATGGAGCAACTGAAAAAGAATATTTTGAGAACTATAACTGAGGTAATTTACTATGCTGTATATAATTCATTTCACAATACTGAAATTGTAGGAGAAGTGTGCATATAAACTGATATCTGATGAACACTCTTCAGTTCTTCAAGATGTCTAAGCGAAATGTATTATATGAACAAATAAAAACAGTCAAAATCGGATAATAAGTAATAATAATAATGTTAAATTAAAAAAATTATAATAAAAAATTATTGTAAATATAAAATAATAATATCAAAGTTATTAATAAAAATGTTTCTATGATGAATCATAATATTGAGTTTAGAAACACGAATTCATTTTTTGCATTGTTCGGATTACACGAACTCCCCTGTAACACGAACTATTTGTCTGATTTTTTCGTGTTCGTGTTAACGAGGGTTTACTGTAGTAAAAAAAGACTGTTATTTCAACCAACAACTTATGGGAAAAATAGGTTCTTGAGCGGTAGCCTTAACCTCAACTAATAAGCGCAGTATAGGATAGACCCCCACTAGATGGAATGACAGCCTAGTAAGAGATGTAGGAAGTATATGGATGCACATGGCTAAAAACCATGCTTTGTGGCATTCCTTAGAGGAGGCCTATATTCAGCAATCTACTTCTGATTAGCTGTAATGATGATAATTATAAATCAGTTTTGTAGTAAAACATTCCACAGCTGTTAATAAATATTTTAATTATCAGCTTTTATATTTTTATAATCTTAATAATTATATTATGCTCATTTGATTGATAGAGAATTGTTTTACCTATAAACTAGCTACCATTTTTTTTATAGAATGAGGATGACAAACTAGTACACATCTCACCTGATGGTAAATGGATGCTGTGACCCATAAACATCTTCATTTATCCTTCTTTTTTATTCTAAATATGCAGATGCATTGTCACCCCTGAAGACTTAGGTGGAATGCCTCTTAGTCAGTAAAAAGGATGTAGAGAACAACACTTGCCATATGAAACACAGCAGCATTAAGCTGGTATTCTGTGAGTGTGATACTACTGCAGTCAGGCCGACCCATTCATACTACACCCATAATATAGCAGCAGAGTGTCTCTACCATGTAGTGGTTTATAAGATCTAACTAAATAGTGCAAATTATATTAAATATTATATGACACAATTGTATAAGTACTCGTTTAAGTAAAAAAATAATTATAATCAATATTATTATTACTCATTCTTCAACTTATAAAAAAGGATTTAACTGTTTGAAGTTAGAACTTCTTTTTTTTTTAGTCTTTTAAAATTAATATTGAAACATATTTCATGACCAAATACGAACTATAAAAATTTACCTTTAAAGTTTACATTTTCTGTTCCATTACAGTTTGTACTTAGTTATCCCATGTTGATTTTAGAACTATATTGTGACCAGTTGCATGTAATGAATACTACAAACATCAGTAATAATCAGACATCAAAATTAGAAATTGATACTTTTAAGATCTATTGCAGAGCTGATTTAGAGTTTGTGGTTAAAAAACCAGTTTTCTATATAAATTTTGCTACCGTGTTATATAATTTTTTTACCACTAAGCAATAATAATAATATCATTTTATAATCTATATTTTCAGAAAAATAATGAAACTCTAGAAATAAAATCTGAACAGTGTAATGAAGATGCTACTAATTTCAAAAATTTACCAATTTTTCCCACAAAAGATGACCTCCTTTATGACACTAGAATTAAAATACAGCCAAATATAATAAATGGTGCATACCCAAGTGTGGAACATTATTTGGATCTGCAGTTTAAGTTGTTACGAGAAGACTGCTTTGCACCCTTACGAGAAGGAATATGTTGGTAAAAGGCATAGTTTTCATTTATATAGACGAATTAGTAATGACACAATAAAAAAAACACAACAATGCACATTGCTTGGCTAAGTATTCAACACAGCATATTTATTTATTTTATTTATTTATACTTTCATGCACAAAAAAAAAGTACATATGGCGGACTTAATGCCATAGGGCATTCTCTCCCAGTCAACCATTAGGCTAAACAGAGATAGACATTATGGAGGCGGTGCAGCAATAATCAAATAGAGAGGATAAAAGAAATAATAATATATGTAATAAACAATACATAGATATTATATACATACATATATATATACATATATAATATATAATAGAATATATATACATACATACATACATACTTACATACATACACTGTATACACATAAATACATAAATATATATCTATATATATATATACATACACAATAGGTTCGTATAAATATGAATGCAGATTCATGGTTGGTATTTTAATGGCGTGAGGACCAAGATGAAATGCCTTGTTTCCAGTAAAATTATTATTTGGTTCTCTACACTCACTATATTAGTAAACACAGCAGTGTTGAGCTGCTATTTTATGATTGTATTCTTAGATAGTGTGGTCCTTCCCCGGTCGAGTCAACCCATTCATGCTACAACTATACACTAATATAGCTTCAGCATGGCTCTACCACATGTCTTTGAAGTCATTATTGTATGCTTTGTTAACAAAAGCTTTATTTTATGTTAGGTATAAGAAAAAAGTAGTTACTATAGATATATGTAACAAAGCATGTAATATCATATCATTTGATGTAGCTAACATTCATACAATTTATAAATACAACAAGGTGTTAGAGAAAACAAACTTACTTTGTCTCTAATTGCCTACATGTGGTGTATTAATGTAATAATGCAGTGTGTTTAATGTAATAGCCTATGTACGTCCTATGGCCAGGCAAAGATCTCCTCCACTTTCCTAGAGAGTTATGAAACAAATAATCTTCTGCGCTATCCCAGTGTGTGTTGGAGGACTTTACATATCCTCCAAATATGTTATTCCACGGACATGCATGTTGCCTCGCAATGGTATCCTTCACTGCCGGGCACATGTTAATCGATAAATCATCCCTTAAAATTGCAAATTAACAATTTCATAAGTGCCGGCATGGATTGAACCTTTGTTGCTGGCATATTGTGAAATTGACGGCAAGCATATAATCCTTGAGCTGCAATGACTTAATAATGTTACCAATACCAGAATATAGATTGTGTACGCTACCGCGTATGTGGTGAAGTTGGACAAATCTTTTAAGAGATGCATTCAAAGCACTAATTCCCTTATTTATTTATCATAATAGTATTTATATCTATTATCTTTGATAGAAATCCATTCCATTCAATTCCTTTGGTAAAATTTCAGGTAAATATATGGAAAATCCCTCAAAGCGAAAACATGAAAACATAAGGTATGATTAATGACAATTTAATATGATTTTCAGTTTTATTTTACCCATATTAATAAGCAAATGTTTTTATATAGGCAAAAAAATTATATAGAAACTATGTCATTTATCTTGAGTGAATATGAAGATTCTATTATCATACAGTATAATAATTATATTTAAATGATAGCTAACACAAATTAAAATGAGAGATATTGGCATATATTTAAAAAAATGGCCAAGTGCATGTCAGAAGATGCACAATGTAGAGGTAGGGTTCAGTAGTTGCTCATCAGAATATGTGGGCTTTTTTGATAATGAGCGTATTAAGTTTTTTGACCTCCTATAACAACTAAAAATAGGACAATACCTACATTTAAAAAAAATTAAAAACTTTGATTTTAAAAATAATACAATCTACATCAAATCATTCACATCCCAAGTCCGTACAAAGATGTTTATAGATGTACTAACTATCTATTTATTCCCAGCATCGCAACCCTAAGATATATGTGACTGTAACGAAGCTTTCCGTAAATCATGTATGAATACTTTGGAGGAAGCTTACAATAACTACCAACAAAAAATAAGCGAAAGCAGTAAATAAGTAAGAAAAATCGACCCTGCTTATCCCGCATAGCAAAAAATGTAGTAGTAATGCATATAAATCGTTTTCTTCATAAAATATTTATTTCTTACAGTTTACAATAACATTACAATGTTATAATGCAGCTAGTTTTAGGTCATTTTCTATGGAGTTGTAACGAAATTTTTACTAATCTAAGTGAATTTAAAAAATTGAACGACTATTACTGGTTAATTAGTTAATTCAACTTTGCTGTCAAAGTTGTCCTTATAACTTAATTCATACTTTTCACATTTCCTAAAACAGCGATTTAGTTGGTTGAGAGTAGACCTAAAATACTTCGCAAACGGAATTAAATGAAAAGAATTTCTTCCATACCCTTAGTGTTTTTGAAATACCTGTCCACCAATACCCCATCCTATGGAATAGACTGGTAAAAAAAATAATCATCTTGTATGAAATGGTGCGATATTATATTTCAAGCGATGAAAGTTTACGTGGTACGAGTACATACAAGGACACTAAAGTGAGTCTTTACCACCACAAGAAATTAACGTACTTGTCGTAATTAACCTACCAATCGAAGAAAAATTTACAGATAATCAAATAATACTATTCAAGTGCAGTGAGATAACATAAATAATGAATCTGAAAACTCGCCGTAACTTTCATCATCATCATCACAGCCCTTCACAAGTCCACTGCTGAACATAGGCCTCCCCCAAGTAATGCCACAAAGCACGGTCCTGAGCCACCTGCATCCATCGACTTCCTGCATATCTTACCAGGTCGTCACTCCATCTAGTGGGGGGTCGCCCTACACTACGCCTACCGGTACGAGACTGCCACTCGAGAACCTTTCTTCCCCATCGGTTATCGGTTCTTCGAGCTATATGGCCGGCCCATTGCCACTTCAGCTTACTAATCCGTTGGGCTATGTCGGTCACTCTAGTTTTACTGCGGATATCCTCATTTCTGAGTCTATCACGCAGAGAAACTCCGAGCATAGCCCTCTCCATAGCTCGCTGAGCGACCTTGAGCGTCCTCATACGGCCAGCAGTGAAGGACCACGTCTCTGATCCGTAAGTCATCACTGGCAACACGGACTGGTTGTACACTTTAGTTTTCAGAGATTGAGGTATACCTGACGAGAAGATGTGTCGTAATTTCCCTAACGCTGCCCAGCCGAGTTGAATCCGTCGATTGACCTCTCGGTCGAAGTTAGACTTACCTAGTCGGACTATTTGTCCCAGGTAAACGTACTCGTCAACAACTTCGAGCATAGTGCTCCCAACAACTACCGGCATAGGTGTGACATGGACATTAAACATGATCTTTGTTTTGTCCATGTTCATCTTAAGACCTATCCGTTGGGAGGCACTATTGAGGTCATTGAGCATAGTGCTTAAGTCCTCCAGCGATTCTGCCATAAGGACTATATCGTCGGCAAATCGAAGGTGAGTGATGTACTCGCCATTGATGTTAATACTGTATCCTTTCCAGTCCAGTAGCTTGAAAACGTCTTCCAAAGCAGCGGTGAAGAGTTTCGGGGATATAACGTCACCCTGTCTTACACCTCTCTGCAGTTGGATAGGTTTCGAGCTCTGGTTCTGTACTCGGATAGCCATCGTAGCCCTACTGTACAAACACTTCAGCACTTCGATATACCGGTAGTCAACTTGGCACCGCTGAAGGGACGGCAGCACCGCCCAAATTTCGACGGAATCAAAGGCTTTCTCATAGTCCACATACGCCAGGCAAAGTGGCAAATTGTACTCTTCAGTCTTCTGTACAATCTGCCGCAGGGTATGTATGTGGTCTATGGTACTGAAGCCTTTTCGGAAACCGGCTTGTTCGGGAGGCTGGAAGTCGTCGAGTCTGCGTGCGAGACAATTCGTAATGACTCTCGAAAACAGCACGTAGACGCGGTTCAGAAGGGAAATCGGTCTGTAGTTCTTCAAGAGAGCGTTGTCGCCTTTCTTAAAGAACAAGACCACCGCACTTCTGCTCCACGCCTCTGGAGTAGTGCCACCATGGAGGACGGAATTGAAGAGCTTCTGAAGGACTTCAAGTACCGGTGTTCCACCCGCTTTCAGAAGCTCCGCTGTAATTCCATCCTCGCCTGGGGCCCTGCCGTTTTTAAGGTGCTGGAGAGCCATTGTAATCTCGATTAGACTGACGTACGGGATATCATCGGAATAGTGTCGGATAAGACTTGCTCTTGGATCGTTACTCACACTTGCGTGTGGCTCCAACGATGATGTGTACAGCTGCCCATAGAACCTCTCAATCTCACTCAAAATCTCGGGTGTCCCGAAAACGATGTTGCCACACTCAGTCTTCAGCCTTGACAGTTGGCTCTTACGGGCAGACAGATCTCTGGCAAAGACTTTGGAGCCCTGGTTCCGCTCGATCGCTTCTTTAATACGAGCAGTATTAAAGTTGCGTAAGTCTCGCCGCATGCATTTGGAGATCTGTCTGTTCAGTTGCCTGTATGCTGTCAAATCTGTTGACGATTGCAGCCTCATCTCCCGTCTAACAGCCATGAGATTAAGAGTGTGATCGGAGAGTTTTTGTGTTCTTCTGCGGCGGGTCTTGCAGAACTTAGCTCCGACCGCATGGACAGTTTCCACGAGCTTGTCTATTCATATCGTCCACTGCATTGCAATCTTGTAGGCACTGAAAGCGGTTGTGTAACTCGAGCTGAAAGTTTTCGGGATTTTGGATTAGAGCACGAGGGGGGACGGAGCGTTTGCTTCATTAGACGAGACCTCTCCAACTTAACGTTTAGGTTCAGTGTGCCTCTAACCATTCGGTGTCGCTGCCGGTTTTCATCCTTGCGATCACTGAGACATCACTGAACAGTTGGCTTCTGGTCATCGTAATGAAGTCAATCTCATTTTTTGTCGAACCGTCGGGGCTCGACCAGGTCCACTTCCTGTGGGGCCGCTTTTGGAAGAAAGAGTTCATCATAAAGAGTCCCTCTTTCTCCATAAAGTCGGCCAGCTGCTGGCCCCTTCGGTTCCGTTGCCCTACTCCAAATTTCCCTAACTTCAGCTCACCGTTTTCTCTTGTGCCTAGTTTTGCGTTGAAGTCTCCCATCAACACCGTGTAGTGGGTTTTGGAGGAATGCATGGCTTTGGAAATATCCTCATACATTTCCTCCACCTCCTCATCGGAATGTGCCGAGGTTGGTGCGTAAACCTGTATGACCTTCAGCGAATACCGTTTGGTGATTCTGAGTATCAGGTACGCGACCCTCGTCGACACACTCCCAATCTTTACAACGTTGTTGACGAGAGACTTGTGGACGATAAATCCGACACCTCCTTGGGACAGATGGTAGCCCTCCCGGTGATAGAACAAGTTGCCGGATTCGAGAATCACCGTGTCCTCCCCCTCTCTTCGGACCTCGGATAATCCTATAATACTCCAGCGCAACTTGTCTATCTCTTCTTCCAGCTCCAGGATCTTCTCTCTCAGTCCTCAGTGTGCGTGCGTTAAATGTTGCCAGGTCGAGTCGTCGTAGGTGGCAACCGAACCTCCACCGGAGATTCTTAGCACCCCCTGCCCCGCCGTTACCATGGTCGCCACCGTAGCCAGGAATAGCGGGGCCGCCGGGGACTGGGGGCCGTCTATTTGTGTAATTGTTCATGGGGGGGGGGGGATATTGCCATAGTTGCCACGCTTGGCGAGCGGGTTGGCAACCGCAGTTTTTTTTTGTCGTACAGTTGCTGTTATCAGGAAGATGCTGCTGCCCATCTCCTGCCTGTCTCCCTCTGTCGCCTTTTACGACACCCACGGGAAAATATGGGGTAGTGGATATTCTTAACCGCCACTACACGGCACTTTCACCATTAGTCTTTTATCAGCGTATAAAGAGTCGTGTTAAGAGGTCCAAAGTTATGAAGATTGCCACAGTATAATTATTGCTGCGGTCACGGAAGTTAAAAGTGCTCAGAAACAGGTAATAAATGTAAAAAATATTTTAAGAAAACGTGCTTGTCTATGCATAAAGAATGTGCATAATGAACGGCCCAGCCTATTTGACACTCATTCGCGCTCCGATCCGCTTACTTTGAATTTACGTTATGACTAATGAATAAACTTTTATTTAATATGTGGTGTGTTAGTTACCCAGAAACGGATTCCGTTTTGAGCTACCAATATTTAATATTGGAACTACTTGGGTAATTTAGTTGTAAATATTTTATTACCATTTTTAAATACGCTATAATAAAGATAGTCGTCAGTTAAGTATTTGATAAGCAAACATATATTTTTTAATTTTATTTATTATAACGATCCTAAGCCCGTTAGAAGTATAAAATGAAAATTGGAATCATAATTCGCGTCATATAGTTATTATCTTAAGCATACGTTGACTTTAATATAAACATATTTATCCGAATTTAAAAAAAAACGCTATTATCTTTCATAAAATTTAAAAAGTTTCTGTCCGACACCGTCCGAAAATTCATGGACACCCTATGCGCCCGAGTGACGTAATCACTGTAAAGATTACCGCCCGCGCTAGCTACCTACACAACATTCCAATAAAAACACAATATGTACACATAACCTGTGATGTAACTTTTCCTTCATACTTTCATCCTGGCTTAGGGCAGGCAAAGATTGAGATTTTACTAAAAAAATGTTGTTATTTTTGGTTGAATTTACGTTCTATAAGTGAAACCAAACCACTGGTTTCAAGGATAACGGTGTTTACACTAACACCCTGTATAATAATTTATTTATTTGAACTTCAATATAAAATTCAGCTAATCTTTGAAAATAACCCTGTATAATTGATCTCTATTCTTTTAATTTCAGGGTGTACCCTAAGGTTCGTATTATTAGAACCTATGTAAGCAACAACAGGGTTGGCCACCTCGTTGACATTGCGTGGCAGGATCGCCTCACGAACGGAGCTGTTGACAAAAAGCTGTACGCTCTTAATAAAAGCTTGATGTTTGGATCACTACTGCTCTTCACCAGTGATCAGTTTGAGACCATACTATGTGCCTCTGTGTTGGATTCTAATACACACCTTCTTGGCGATGGCTATGTATGTATTAACATACATAAAGCATGAAATTTCTGCATTTGAAAGTATTTTTTCTCTTTTCTGTTTACAAGTAATGCATATTTTAAAATTAATAACCTAATTGTGTATTTAAAAAAAATGTGATGCAAACTATTAACTTTTCAGATTGTTGTGTCTTTCCAAAATCCCGTATCTAGCAAAATTTATTCAGAACAGTACCTGATGGTAGAAAGTGAAGTATTCTTTGAACCTTACCATCGAGTATTAAAAGTGCTGCAGAATACCAGGTTTGATGACTTGCCCATGAAGAATTACATTGTTGATGTTCAGGTATTACATATTACTATCAAAATTGTATACTTTTGTATGTTACTCCTAGATAGTTTTTGTAATCTTTTTAAGATTACATCCATGCTGTCTTCTCTACTCAAACTAGAGGTAAACTGACGTAAGATGCCTTGTGGTATTTATTAATTTATCTATCTGTACATAATTATATCCCTTAGTAGGTGTCGTGAAAGGCGAAAGAAAAACTGAACCGGGAGGTGAGAGGCAGCATCTTCATGATAACAGCTGTACTTTTTTACTGTAGTATTTGTGATTAATTGCAATTTGCCATTCATTCTTTAACGGGCTTGAGAGCGGCAATTACTAAACAGGTAGTGAGAAAATAACAAAATTAAATGATTCACAGAGCAGACAAAATAAATTTGGCGCATTTAAAAAGTCGCAATCAGCTATTTTAAAGTAGTAAAAAGTAAAGTTACAGCCTATATACGTCCCACTGCTGGGCACAGGCCTCCCCTCATTTCTGAGAAGGTTTAAGGACAAGTGTCCGCCGCGCTGTTCTAATGCGTGTTCGCGAACTTCACATGTTTTCGAAATATTTTTTTTCTTATACCTCAGACTTGCTTCCTCACGATGTTTTACTTCACCGCCGAGCACGTGGTAAATCAGCACTTAAAATTGCAATTATACAATTTCGTTGGTGCCGGCGGGGGTCGAACCCGGGTTACTCGCGTACTGTGATATTTACAGCGAGCGTTAACCATCTGAGCTACCACAACTCAACTATTTACAACAATTAAATTATTTACAGTAGGTACTTAGATTTACGCACGCACTTATTTACACTATCAGTTACCTACCTACAAGTATTTTAAAAGTTATTCAAAATCTCCACCTTCATTGTTAATACAAACACGCGCACGTTTTTAGCGATAATAAAACGGCTAGCCGTTTTACTTTATCAAAACTCTATAATATGTGCTGTTAAGTGTTATAGGGCTTACATATTAGTAGGCTCACTCAAATACACTAGTCTTTTTATTTTGCTCCATAAAAAGAAGTCCATTTGTGTCGAGCGAGCGCTTGGGCCAGGCAATACCGCGACCGGGTGCCAAACTCCTCAGTCAAGTACTCTCGCACTGCGCGATGTTAAATAACGGTTTTACCAACTCGTTTTTTTATAGAAGAGGGGGCAAACGAGCGTACGGTTCACCTGATGTTAAGTGACTACCGTCGCCCATGAACATCCGCAACACCAGGGGAATTGCAGGTGCTTTGCCAGCCCTTTAGAAAGGAGTAAGCTCTTTTTTTGAAGGTCCCGAGGTCGTATCTGCCCGGAAAACACGACGGTGGTAAACTATTCCACTGAGAGGTCGTACGCGGAAGAAAACTCCTTGTGAAACGAACAGTGGTGGACCGACCTATATAGAAGAGGTCTTTGCCCAACGTACACGGTTCACGTTTAATAAAGTTAACTGCATATAGGTAAACTACAATAACATGGTCCGTCCGTCCAAATTACTAAGCGGTTGAATTTATAGTACTTACAAGTTTCACAAGACATGTGTGCGTGCTTTTACAGTACGTTTGCACTGAGAAACATCCAACACGTAATGTTTTGAAACAAATCGCATAAAATAAATCACACAACATGTTTTGTTGATGGTGGCGTTCGCACTCACAAAAACTGTGTAAAATGAAAGAGTGTTTAAAACATGTTTTTTTTTTGTGAAAATCGCGTCAGTGCAAACTCACGGTTAAAAGGACGTCAAACAAAAACATTTGAATGGATTTTTTGCTTGACTCGCTGTGGCACGGATAAGCTCATTTGTTTATTTGGTTTAGTATGGCGTTGCACAAACGCTGTCTATGAAAGTGACACGTGTATTGTTGCGAGATCAGCAAATTATGACTAGTTGACGAACAAACCTTATTAATGAATAATACTTCTAACTACATGCAAAAGCGTTCGTAAGCATAGGACCGCATACATCGAAACAGTAATTCGGAGTGGGGGAGGTCATGTCATCGTAGACTATGCTAGTTGTCTAACCGTATAAAAGTAGACGGTCAACAACTTCATTTATGAGAAATAATTGGTCCCTTTATGTATTTTTGTTGGTTGCAGACTGAAGTTCGCCCGCCTGACTATATTACATCTGAAACGGTTTACAGCATAGCTAGCCCTAAACACCATGAGGAAATCAGTTTTAATGTGCTTGAGTTAGACCAATGGCCAATCAATAAAACCTTTGGCTTAGACGATTCTCAAATGAGCGCCTTCAAATTCGCTCTTACAAGAGAATTTGCCGTCATACAAGGTCCACCTGGCACCGGCAAAACGTTCATTGGGGTCAAAATTGCATCTACGCTACTTAGGAATTTATCTCTGGAAGGTACTCCAATGCTTGTGATCTGCTATACAAATCACGCCCTTGATCAATTTCTGGAAGGCATCCTGGATATAACAACGAATGTTATTAGATTGGGAAGCCAAAGCAAAAGTAATGTTTTACAAAATTACACTTTAAATAATATGAGAGGGAGAATCAAGTCAAAATACTCTTACCTCTACGCTAGTAAAAGAGGAGAATTAGAAAGGCTATATAAAGAATTGACTGAGATTCAAACTGAGGTTGATAAATGTGAAAAAGAAATTATTTCTTATACAACTCTCAAACCGTTTTTGAAAATTAATAACAAACCATTTGAATTAAAATCGTCTAGTGAAGATTCTGTAATTAGTTGGTTGTTTGGTCATTTGGATAATACACCTGAAAATCCAAACGATGAAGAGGATTTAGATGATTGGGAGAAGCAGTGTGAAGACTTAAGTGTCGGTGATAAAATTGAAACATGTTTTTCTGAAGAATGGGCGCTAAAAGAAATACAAACAATGAAAAACAGCATTAATTACGTTGGGGATTTGACAGATGACAAAAATAAATCTCAAAAAATGATTGAAAAATTACAGGAACAAATCACAAAACTTCGAAACAGGTTGAATTATTTTAAGGTATGTAGGTACTCGAATCCTGAGGTAATAATGTATTTCAGTTGACTTCCGTTGAATGTCATTCCGTATGGTAGCGGCATAAGTTAATCCATCACCCCACTTCGTCCCATAATATATAATAACGTAAGAGGCAACTATGGGACATACCAAAATGATCTTATGACTTTTTTTATAGGTTAAGGGTGACAAACGAGCACACAGTTCACCTGATGGTAAGTGGATGCTGTGACCCATAGACATCTACATTTATCTCCAATTAAGAATCAAAATGCGTTGCCAGCCCTGAGGACTGAGATGGAATGCCTCGTTTCCAGTAACAAGGGTCTCCGATTCTCTACACTCACCATACGAAATACAGCAGCATTAAGCTGCTATTTTACGCTGGTATTTTATCAGAGCGTGATCCTACTCCGGTCGAGCCGACCCATTCGTGCTGCATCCACAAAATAGCTGCAGCATGGCTTTTCCGATAGATGGCGTTGTACTCAATGTCAATCCGCCTGCCAAGCATGACAATAATTAAGGCAAATCCTACTTACTATCATCATCATCATTACAGCATTCACAAGTTCACTGCTGAACATAGGCCTCCCCGAAAGAGTGCCACAAAGCACGGTCCTGAGCCACTTACATCCATCGAATTTCTACATGTCTTACAAGTTCGTCACTCCATTTAGTGCTCCCTACACTTCGCCTACTGATAACTTCTGCCACTCGAGAACCTTTTTTCCCATCGGTTGTCGGTCCTTCGAGCTATATAGCCGGCCCGTTGCTGCTTTAGCTTACTAATCCATTGAGCTATGTCGATCACTGTCGTTTTACTACGAATATCCTTATTTTTAAGTTTATCACGCAGAAAACGCCTAGCATAGCCCTTTTTATAGCCCGCTGAGAGACCTCGAGCATCCTCATACGGCCAGCTGTGAAGGACCACGCCTTAGATCCACACTGGCAACACGCACTGGTTGTACAATCTCGTTTACAAGTTTTAAGGTATACCTGACGAGAATACTACATACTATAGAAGAGGTCATATCCAACTGTGGACGAAGAAAAAAGACTGGGAGAGTTTCAGGCCATATGTTCTCAGTCTACTTTTTAATGAAGTGTACTGCATATTAAATAGTATAAATTAATAGAGGTATTATGTGAGGGAGAAAGCTACTTTTTCACTGACTCTCGTAACACGGGTTTTCTAATCTAGCTCGGGAGTCAGAGGCTTAAATATAAATAATATTGTAACAAATTTTATGTCAATAAAGATTATTATTATTATTATACTTCTTTACTGATATTAAAGATGTTACTAGCCACAAAAAATAATTTTATTTCTGCAGAAAAACATGACATTGGCACAAAAAGGAGAATATGACAAAAACGATGTAATGGAAGTAGAAGATTTGTATCAGTTATCTCCAGAAAAAAGATGGCGTGTCTACTTCAACGCAACGGCAGCTCTAAAAGATAAACTTATGAACAAGATGAATTATTTAATGGTTTGTAAAAAATATTAAAATTATTTTGCTAAATAAACTAGTTTAGTAGTAATTTAGTTTAGTTTAATTATTGTTGATATTATGATATTGCCAATGCCAGTTAAAATGCAGAATTGCCAGGTTATTTGTTGCTGTTTATAGAATAAGGGTGACAAATGAGTGCACAGTCCACCTGGTAAGTGGATATTATGGCCCACAGATATTTACATCTATTCTCGATTAAGTATCAAACTGCATATGCTTTGTCATCCTATGTCTAGCCTAGGTATTATATCTTATTCGAGGAATGTATTATATACCTAGGATAAGATATAGTACCTCGTTTCTAGTGAACTCCGTCATTTCTGTCTTTCCTCCATTCCTATCGTCATCAACATTTGAAAGTATGTTGAGTGTTTATAGTACATTTTATTTGATCGATTCTAGTACACACACAAGCGATTGGAGTTCTTTACCTAGACCATCCATGACAAATGTCTTGGGAATTTCAAGGCAATAGTGAATTGCCATTTTCTGGTGTAATGTGTTTACAATTTATCACCACCTGACATCAAGTGGGATCTTGGTCACACATACAAGGTTCCCTAATCACATTTTCTTTACCGTCCACATATTTACACTTGGCGATTTATTATTTTAGCAGCGCTGGTACTCTCCTTTATGAATGCTGTTATTTCAAACATGTCAATATTTTAGTAATTAATTTTAAAATACTTGAACGTAAAACGTCTGGTTTTAAAGGAGCAACATAATGCGTGTAGCGAAGAACTGGAGGAAGTCAGCACATTGCTAGACGGTGAGCTTGTACGAACGGCACGAGTGGTGGGGGTGACCACCAGCGCAGCCGCGAGGAGGCACGACCTGCTGAGGAAACTACTGTCACCCATAGGTACGTACTTTTCACTGTGTTGAAAAATTTTGTATAAAGAATAGGTTACTAAACTGAAAAACTGGTAAAGCTAAATGAATATAAGTGAGCTGTTTATTCTTATCTTTCTCTGATTGTGGCGTTTTTGTTCCAGTAATTGTTGAAGAAGCGGCGGAGGTTTTAGAAGCGCACATAGTGGCTTCACTTACAAACCACTGCAAACATCTCATACTAATCGGTAGTATATTTTACTTACCTTTTGTTAATTTGTTTACAATATCTTAAAATTATGGTTTCTCCAATCATAGATTATTATACAATTTTTTTCATAATTGACAGGCGATCACAAGCAACTTCGCCCAACTGCCGCACATTACAATCTGGCAAAAGACTACAATCTGGAAATATCTCTCTTCGAACGCATGCTCCGTAATGGTGTGCACGCACGCACTCTCACTACACAGCGACGAATGCGTAGCAACTTTGCTCAGTTGCTCGTGCCGATCATTTATGAAAAACTAGATTCCCATCCTTCAGTACTAGCTTATCCTGATGTTAGGGGGATGAAGGATAACTTGTACTTCTTTAATCATAATGAGTTTGAAGACTCTGAGGTTAGTTTTGTTATCAACTTATTCAGATTATTAATTTTAACGTGTCTGACATTAATATCTTTATAGGAAGACTCTACATAAATACAGACTTTAAAAAAATTAGATGTATATTTGAGTTTTTTTTTTCAATTTTATCATCACATGGTGGTTGATCATTTCTATAATTTGAACTAACTTATTTACTGTTAACAAACAACAAAAATATAATCAAATCTAATTTAAATCTTTTTACCCTTAAAACGTAATTTCTTATACGTTGTTATGTATACGACTATACCAGTAATTCGGAATAAAAACTGTTATAAAACTGCGGACGCGGGCGAGTCTCTGGCATGATAAGTATGCCATGTAGTTGTATTTTTATTTACGACAGTTACAGTATTTAGGCAAATACGAAATACAGTTATATACTTATCTGAAATAAACTTCAAATCACGTTGACATGTACGCACATAAATAATGACAGCGTTTTATTAGTCAAATTAAATATAATCAATATCAGGTTGTAGACAACAGCGTTCTCAGTTTACAAAACAAAGAACTAGTAATTTTTCTGTTCATAATCTAGCATAACGACTGCTGTGTACTCAGTTTCTTTCACTTCTTCTTAATAGATTAAAGAATTAAAAGATAAGTTACGTTTGTAATCTGTACTTAGTACGAATCTGAAAGCTAATAGAAAAAAGATAGATTTTTGAGAAATCGATCTTTTAGACCTCGATTTTTTTGTGAATCGATTCATCCGATTTCGATTTTAATCGATTTAAAAATCGATCTTTTTCGGAAAGAATCGACATCCCTGATTGACCGTAACTTAGTGCGCAATGTGTTACAGCCAGAGTCCGTCTAGTAGTATACATAGAAGTCTGCAGCCAGTGACACTTCTGTTGCATTTTATTTACTGCTGACATAATCCTAATTATTCTACTCTGAGCTACCTCGCTTACATGTTGGGAAACTTTTATACATGGTAGAGCCATGCTGTAGCCATATTAGTATAGTTGTAGTACGAATGGGTCTGCTCGACGGAGGAGGACCACGCTCTCACAAAATACCGGCGTAAAATAGCAGTTTAATTTTGTATTTCGTATTGTGAGTATAGAACTGGAGACCCTTTTTACTATAAACGAGGCATTTCATTTAAGTCCTTACGGGTGACAACACACCTGCATTTTAATTCGTAATCGAGAATAGATGTCTATGAGCCACAGCAACCATTTACCATCAGGAGGACTGTGTGCTTGTTTATCACCATTATACTATTAAAAATACTGTGCATGGGAATGCACAAAAGTACACATTGTTGCTTATTTTTTATTCTATTATATACATTGCAACAATTAAAAGTAATACATTTATCTACTTTATTTTGCATATTAATCGCAGAATAACTTACTTTATACGATATTACATACATATACATTTAAAATATCTTTAGTTTTTTTTTTTGCATTAAATCTGTCTGACAGCTGCTCGTATGTTTTAGATTAGTGGTCCCGACAGAATAACAGCGCTGCGGCTCTTTGCTGTAGCATAATGCTGAGTCGGGTCCTTTTCGTTGCTGCAATCCAACATAAATTTAAATACTTTTTATAAATACTTTTTACTATTAATTGTTTATTTTTTGTGTTGAGTTAATTGTTTGTTTTTTTTTATGTGTTTGTATTAGCATAGCAACGAATAAAGTTATTTTCTTTCTTTCTTTCTTTCTTTCTTATTTTTAATTTACTTATACATTCTTAAATAAAATACAATTATTACCCTTATGCAATTAATAGAATCAAGCGTTACTTTTCGAAAATCCATCATATTGAAGATGTTAAATATATTTAGCTAAGATCCGCGTACAAAATAAATTAAAAATGATTTGCCATTAAATAGTTTGAAGTGCACCTTCCGGCAGATTGTACAGAAGACCGAAGAGTACAATCTGCCACTTTGCCTGGCATATGTGGACTATGAGAAAGCCTTTGATTCCGTCGAGATTTGGGCGGTGCTACAGTCCCTTCAGCGGTGCCAAGTTGACTATCGGTATATCGAAGTGCTGAAGTGTTTGTACAGTAGGGCTACGATGGCTATCCGAGTACAGAACCAGAGCTCGAAACCTATCCAACTGCAGAGAGGTGTAAGACATGGTTACTTATATCCCCGAAACTCTTCACCACTGCATTGGAATACGTTTTCAAGCTACTGGACTGGAAAGGATACGGTATTAACATCAATGGCGAGTACATCGCTCATCTTCGATTTGCCGACGATATAATCCTTATGGCAGTATCGCTGGAGGACCTAAGCACTATGACATCTTAAGATGAACATGGAAAAAACAAAGATCATGTTTAATGTCCCTGTCAGACCTATGCCGGTAGTTGTTGGAAGCACTATGCTCGAAGTTGTTGACGAGTACGTTTACCTTGGACAAATAGTCCGACTAGGTAAGTCCAACTTCGACCGAGAGGTCAATCGACGGATTCAACTCAGCTGGACAGCGTTCGGGAAATTACGACACATCTTCTCGTCAGGTATACCTCAATCTCTGAAAACTAGATTGTACAACCAGTGCGTATTGCCAGTGATGACTTACGGATCTGAGACGTGGTCCTTCACTGCTGGCCGTATGAGGACGCTCAAGGTTGCTCAGCGAGTTATGGAAAAGGCTATGCTCGAAGTTTCTCTGCGTGATATACTCACAAATCAGGATATCCGCAGTAAAACCGGAGTGACCGACATAGCCCAACGGATTAGTAAGCTGAAGTGGCAATGGGCCGGCCATATAGCTCAAAGAACCGATAACCGATGGGGTAGAAAGTTTCTCGAGTGGCAGCCTCGTACCGGTAGGCGTAGTGTAGGGCGACCCCCCACTAGATGGAGTGACGACTTGGTAAAATATGCAGGAAATCGATGAATGCAAGTGGCTCAGGACCGTGCTTTGTGGCATTACTTGGGGGAGGCCTATGTTTCAGCAGTGGACTTGTGAAGGGCTGTAATGATGATGATGATGCACCTTTCGCTCTCCCTCAATTGCGTCCTTCAAGTTTGAAGAAGGATCTTAGCTAATATTTTTTTAAATATCTTTACCCTTACGTGCGCTGCGCTGGTACATTTATAATCTATATTTCACTTTTATAGGGCTTAGAAGATAGTTGGAGCCACAAAAATACATACGAGGCGAAATGGTGTTTGGCCCTCGCAAATTATTTACGACAAATGAAATATAAAGCTGAGGAAATAACGATACTGGCCACTTACACTGGACAGGCCACTCTTATGAGAGACGTAAGTTGTTGAGTGCTCGGTAGCACGGGGGTTAGTTTTAGCATGAATAATTTTTTGTCAAAAAATATAAAATGTTTATTTGCACAAAAATGATACTGTTAAAGAAACTTTGTATGTATATTTACAGCGAATCTATTAATGTTAAATAATTTAATTTAAATTTTAAACATGGTTTATTTTATCAATTTTTAGTTTTTTTTTAAGTAATTAAGTTTTTCGGATAAAATATAACCTATGGTTCATAAAAGCTTGATCTCTGCGACATCTGTCAGTAAAATCACGCCTATGAAGTCCTGAATTTATTAGTAGTACAGACAGTACCTGTCAATGTCATACTTTATGGGCATGCCGACCTAATTAGTGCATGCCACTGACCTCTATATATACAAGTACGCTGGACTGGCTATACACCGTGTCATACTGAAGCGATTTGATTTCCGCCATTTTGGCGCTGACAGCAGAAGTGCACGTCCACGGAACTAATAATAGGGATAAGACAGTGTACCAAATTATATCGATAAAAATTCTATACCCTACCTATACCTTAATAAATAGAATGGACTCTATGGATAGATGGACTCTACCCGTAACGTCCATTCTATTTATGTATCATATTAATATAATGCCATTATCATTCATCATCATTAAAACCCTTCACAAGTCCACTGCTGAACATAGGCCTCCCTCGAGGAATGCCACAAAGCACGGCCCTGAGCTACCTGCATCCATCAAATTCCTGCATGTCTTACGAGTTTTTGACTCCATATAGTGGGTGAACGTCCTACACTTCACCTGCCGGTACGAGGCTGCCACTCGAGAACCTTTTTCTCCCATCGGTATTCAGTTCTTCGAGCTATATGGCCGGTCACGACGGTGGCCATTCAACTATAAATTATTAAGATTAAACTACACAAAATAAAAATAAAAACATAATTTCTAAAATAATTTATTGTCAACTGTTCATTTAGTTCTAGTATTATAAAAAAACAAATCAGCTGCTATAATAACGCCTATTCTAATTAACTACAGGTCTGTCTATGGACAGTAAAATATTTTCTACTATATAAAAATTTATGTTTGTTCGTTCTTTCTTCAATGCCATACCGTTCATCAGATTGTGGTCAAACTTAGTCAACTTATTGGTTGCACTTCTGCAAAAGATATACGCATGATACAATTAACTGACACTAGGTGGCGTGCGTATTATACCGACTATTTATTTGAAAGTTATAGTTATTGAAAGTTATATATCATTCTAATTCAATGATTTTATTATCATTCATATTATATTGTATAAATATAACTGTTCTGTACTGTACTGTTAATATAACATTTTTAACGATATTTCCACAATTATTTCTTCTTGCTATGCGCCGGTTACGAGCTAGAAAGATAATATAAAATAATATAAACTTTAAATTACATAGTTATCAGTTAATAACAAAGTCATTTTCGAAATTGTAATCACAATATTAAAAAAAATAACTCGTCCCAAGAATGCTGGCTACGTGTCCTCACTGAATGGCTATACTTAGCATTAAACCGAGGAAACAACTAGCCCTCTTATTACCAGTAGCGATGATCAGTCGCAGATACAGTTTTTTAGGAACTACACCGCAGGTGCACCCTAGGGACCAATAGTCTCTACAGCAAATTGCACAAATATGTACTTATCTTCCAGATACTCGGCTATTTACATGGTTCAGTTGCCTCTAATGACACCCCTGCTTTAGACGAGGTACCCCTGAGATGGGATGCTGTCAAAGCGTTCGCAAGTAGCATCCCACACTAAAGCTTTATCTCTCTCTCTCTCTCTTTCAAGCAACCAAACCTATACCGTCGGGTCTCCTGGTATCGTCTCTAAATATTCTACAAAGATCTTAAACCGAGGAAACATTAATAGAGATACGAGTTGCACTACGGACTCCCCGAGCCCGATATGTGAATGGAGCCAGGGAAAAACAAGCACTTGGAAGCATCAAGTTGTGCAGCCTCACCAAAGTCACAAAAGATAGTCGAGTGGCGCATCGCCCTTACGACTCTACCTCAACTACAGCTGTCCAGAAAGAGAAATCTCCTTTAGCCGCAGCACACTAACACACATCCAACGTGGCTCGACATCATCAGGCGATCTTTCGACACTTTGCTATGGCCCTTGAGTTTAGTGGAAAATGAGGAAAGAAGAAATAAAAAAAAAACATTCGAAATAATAATCTAATACTTTTATACTTACTGGTACTGGTACCAGAAAATATTGTCGGTATACTGCACTTTTTCAAAGTGATACAGTTCTCATGTCTAATAAAACAGTCGTCTGTAAAATGTTTGGAACAAATATGATCATTTTGTTTCGGACGCCAATTTACAATATTTATGCTTTTAAGCCATAATTTTAGTCTACGTTCAGTTGGAAACCTGTTAATTAATAAACATTTGATAATCATACGTTGTTGGCGATTTTTTTGTTAACAAATATGGGTAAGAAAGAACATCGATAAGTATTATAGACAAGGAACTCGACAACCCTATTTAATTTTATTGTTTATCAAAACTCAGTAATATACACCCAAACATGTTAGTATATATGATATTAAGATTAGTAACAAATTTTTAAGTACTTATATTATCAAATAGTTTTAATTTGTTTAATATTTGCTGCAAAATCACTTACTTGTGAAATGTTATACCACTTCCCTTTTGGTAACGAATTTTACAGATTACGCACACTCTCATTATTGATAAAAATAATTATTATTATGTAACTAATATTATACATATTCAAACAACAAAATACTTTCGTTTTGTAGTTTAAAAGTTCAAAATACAGACTTATGAAATAAGACAATATAAATAAGACAACAGACTTTGGCATATTACGTCAATTTTATTTTTCAAGACATCCTTTAGCGGCGCTTCAAATTGGCACAGTCATTTTGTATGGTATAGCCAGTCCAGCGTACTTGTATATATAGAGGTCAGTGGTGCATGCCCATAAAGTATGACATTGACAGGTACTGTCTGTACTACTAATATTTTCAGGACTTCATAGATTTTATTGACAGCTGTCGCAAAGATCAAGCTTTCTTTTATGAACTATAAATCCCTCCTAGAATTACTTTTTTTTACTGGCTTTAAGGCTCTGGGTTCTAGCCCTTTTGAGCCTTCCTAGAATTACTGTCTTTTGTGTCTAAAACTGTAACTACAATCGGTTTAACCATTCCGAAGATTAGTCTGGACAGCCAGACAGACAAACATATTTTTTTTATTGTTATTCAATAGTACGAGCAGGTGCTTCATTTCATTTCATAAAGTTACAGCCTATATACCTCCCGCTGCTGGGCACCGGCCTCCCCTCATTTCTGAGAGGGGTTTAGGGCAAGGAAGTGTCGCCGCGCTTCCTCAATTCGTGTTGGTGAACTTCACATGACTTCGAAATATTTTTTCCTTATTCCTCAGACATGCAGGTTTCCTCACGATGTTTTGTTTCACCGCCGAGCACGTGGTAAATCAGCACTTAAATTTGCATTTATCAATTTCGTTGGCGAACCCGGGTTACTTGCGTTCTGTTATATTCACAGCGAGCGTTAACCATCTGAGCTACCACGGCTCCTTATTTATTATAATATATATTATATTTCGTGTGCGTCCTCTATATTATTTTGTATAAAAACTCTTTTTAAGTATGACACAAAACAATTTTACATTGGTGGAGTCACGCTACAGCTATATTGTAGTTGTAGCACCAATAGGTCAGCCCGACCGGGGCAGGACCACACTCTCACAGAATACCAGCGTAAAATGGAAATGTAATGCTGCTGTGTTTCGTATAGTGAGTGTGACCCTTTTTACTGGAATCGAGGAATTCCATCTAATTCCTTAAAGGTGACACATCTGTAGCCTTCTTTGTTTAAAGTTTGCTAAGCTGCAATAGCCACTTACTACAGGTGGACTGTTAATTCATTTGAAACAACAGATTTTTTTTTAATATACGTAAAATAATTTTGTTACAGCTGAGCAAAAAATATGATTTATTGAAGGACGTCAAAATCACAGTTGTCGATAATTATCAAGGCGAGGAGAACAGGATAGTCATATTGTCCCTAGTAAGGAGTAACAGAGATGGCAAGATTGGGTTTCTAAGTGCGGGAAACAGAATTTGCGTGGCGATGTCTCGAGCGAAAGAAGGTTGGTCAATAATTTTGCAAATATCTTTGACGTATATTTAATCGCGAAATGTTAATATATTACGTAAATTACACAAGTTATAAAAAAACCTTTAACTATATTTTAGTCACTGTTTGTCCAAGATCCTTATGATGACTCCACCGAGTTAGTAATTCATTCTTGGGGCGATGTATACGCTTTTACAACAAAATCCCAGAAAATATACAAAATTTGTCATACACAAAGTTCAACAATTTTATTAAACTAACTTTATTTAAAAGGGCTATTATAATATTAAGGAATTTATGGATGATAATAACCCTTGGGAAGGGTAATCGCTACTAAGCTGTTTCTAATTTGTCTTGTGTTGTTAATTGTAAACATAATTGTAAGCTATTATTTGAAAAAAATATCGTCCCGCTTTGTTTCTTGCTGGTTCTTCCCAGGACAGGTTTTTTTTCGAACCAGTGGTAAATGAAAAGTGACTTTCAATAAGTATTGTTTATAATCTACATTGAATAAAAAAGTTTTTGTTTCTGAATGCGGCAGTTCTCGTGGGTAGGGTTATTAGTTATTACTCTAGGTTCATTATTTATTCTGAGGTTCAGTAAAGTTTCGACTAAAATCCTTTTCTTTAAACAATCGTATTTCCATATAATATTAAGAATAGTATTATGCCGCCTGTCAATAGGCACAGGTGTACATAGGCCTTTTTGTAAGTGGCCCTCCTATTAATGAGGGTTTTCTGAAATGTTCCCCGTGAGATGGCAGCGCTGTAGTGTCAGGTCCAACTACCTGTCAAAACACTTACACGATTTATATTTTTCGATCATTTTTTTGGTTTATTTATCCTTAAAAACGTTACAAACAGAATATTGTTTTCCAAAATGCCACAGTGTTGTGCAGTGCCTATGTGTGCAAATAAAAAAGGAGGGCATAAGTTCCCTACAGAAGATAAAAACCGATTAAAACAGTGGCTTGTAGCCATTCGCAGAGATAAATTTACTCCAACGAAAAATAGCCTCGTTTGCAAAAGCCACTTCACAAAGGATGATTACCAGCTACCGAAGGACTCAGTATTAGAAAAACGTAAGAATATTTTGTACTTATTTATAATGATAAGCTTCAGTTAAGTCACCTTGATTATATCTGTGCGCGACTAACCTTCAATGATGTAGTGTAAACGTTTTTTAGTACTTGCCTTATCAAAAATGATTTCATTATGACATTATATTTATTGAATTATTATTCCAGCCAGGCCTGTGTTGAAAAAATGTGCAGTGCCAAGTCGATTCCCATGGATTGACCAAAATTCTAGTTTGCATCAAAAAAAGAAGGAGCGGCATCAAAGGCGTTTGGCGCGAAATGAAAGGAAAATTAGTGTCCAAGTACACATAAACAATGAAAAAGAGAAGGATGACACCTTCCTCATGGAAACTACAAACTTTTTCGAAGTAGAAATTGAATTCGAGAAGAAACAGAATGATGTTGGTATCCAATGTGATTTATGTGGAAGTGATAATCTCAAAACACTTAAAGAATGTCTTCAAAATGAAAATAAAAATAAAAAATCTTCAATTGCAAATGTGCTAGATATAACCAATGCGGCCGAAGTACAGTTTTATACTGGTTTCCAAGATTATGAACATATCAAATTCATATTTAGTATTTTTGGAGATGAAGTAAATTGTTTAAAATATTATCCTCAACTGAAAACATTGAAGGTGCCGTTTCTAAACCCTTGTGATCAATTCCTTCTAGTGTTAATTAAATTACGCCGGAACATGCTATTTACAGAACTCGCCTTTCGATCGAAGATTAATAAAACGGTACTAAGTAACATTTTCATAACATGGATCAATTACTTATATTGTAAATTGAAAGAGTTAAATGTTTGGGTGCCAAAACAATGCATAGATAAAAATATGAAATACTATGGCAAGATTAATCCATGCACTGTGATAGTAGATTGCACGGAAATAAAAATAGAGAAGCCCAAAAATCCACTTACACAACAGCTTACATATTCCACTTACAAATCAGCAAATACTCTAAAAGTTTTAATTGGGATTTCAGCATCAGGCTGCGTTACATTTGTATCCGATGCATATGGTGGATCTACGAGTGATCGTGAATTGTTTGAAAAATGTGGACTTATTGATAAACTTGAACCTAATGATATCATTTTTAGTGACCGTGGCTTTAATGTACAAGACCTAGTGTGCCATAAAGATGTTACAGTTAATGTGCCAGAATTTTTAAAAAATACTGATGGACAATTTGAGACTTCTCAACTGACAAGGTCAAAAAATATATCTTCAGAACGGATACACGTTGAAAGGGTCATTGGTTTGGCTAAAACTTTTAAGATCTTAAGCGGCAAGTTGGATTCAAAATTGGTGCCTTTAGCAGATAGAATAATATTTGTATGTTTTATGTTAACCAATTTCAAAAATAATATTATAAAGTAAAATATGTTTTTTTCAATTTTATTTAATTGATGTCGCTTTTAACAGTACTGTATTAAACATACTTTATTAAATAATAACAAGAATACAAAATTAAACTTTGTTCTAATTTCTATCACATAGAATCTTACAATATACTATAAAAATATATTAACAATCATACATATTTTTTGCTATCTTTGGCAACATAAATTGAAAAAAGAAAGCTTTTACTCGAGGGATTATAATATTTTGTATAAATGAATCATTTTTTTTTAACATTTATTATTTTATCATCAACATTAGTCCATATAAATAAATCACAACAATCTCTTCCTGTGACAAGTAACTGCGTTTGGATTTGGTAATAATAGTTGCTTGTTTCTTTCAGTTGCAAATCATGCTCTAAATGGAAATAATTGTTGGATCCAATCATTTCATCCTTTATGGAATATGGACATTTAACTTCTAAAATTTTGTTATCTCCAATTAATCCATCAGGAGAAGCGCCAATGAAAGGGTACTGCACAGAAACATATAAACCACAGCGTTCTACTTTTTTTCCAGTTTTCCCCTCATATGCTTCAATTGCTGTGGTTTCCATAGACTTGCCCCATTCTAAGGCCGTGCTTACTATTTTCTTATTACATATAAGGCTTTGTGCATACTTTTCTTGGTCCTTTTTAGCAGTAAATTTACAAATCTCACCGACTCTTGAAGCAGTCACTCGAAAAGATCGTTCTGTATGCCATAACTTTGTCTTCGTCTGATTTTTAGTTTTCTTTTCAATTTCCTTTGCTGAGTCAGGTGTAACCTGTTAGGGGCAAAGGATAAGGAAAGTATGAAAGTATAAACCTAAACAAACATCTACAATCCCTATGCAAGTGCAATTAATATTGATGATTACATAATATACTAAATAATAAAAAAATATAGTAGCTACAACTTCTCATGATTCACCACCTCGCTTGCTACAGTACAGTCAATAAGATTGTACAAGTCGTAGCTACTATAATAAATAAATTCATCTGGAATAAATGGCTTACAGATATTTTATTAAGAATAAGTTGATGATGTAAAGGAAAAGGTAGGTAATCATGGTCATGTATCACATCTTGCATGTTTGCACTGTCCAAAATTCCACATAATCCTATTCTTTTTTGTGACAATGAGCAGTAGTTAATGACTTTATTTCTAACTGTTGTAGCCCATTCTTTTCCCTGACTGATAGAGGACTGTGGTCTTGGATCATAGCACACACTTCTTTTCTTTTTTTTGCAAACATTATATTCTGCTATTTCATATGAAAGGTTCTCTGCTTTTTTCGGCGAAACATCAAGTTTATTTTTTTTTAGGTACATGCCATACTTGTTTTTTTTGTGTTGGAGTCATTTTAATTAACCATATATTCTGCTCTCGGAATTTGAGTATAGCATAGCACAAAACTGACACATGCTTGCAAATGGCTTTTGGTCCTTTCCCTGCTACACATTCACACACCGATTGTATAATAGATCCACTTCCATTACATATGGCAATGGAAGCAAAATAAGTGAGGGCTTTTGTATTTTCAGAATGGACTTGACCTTTGAAAAATATATGTGTACTAGTATTTGCGGTCACTAATGCGAGTAGGTAGTTATTTTGCAGCATATTATAACCTCTTCTGTGCACTGCAGAATAATCTGACATTCCTATGCCGTCTTTATACAATTCAAGGAAATACGTATTTATGTTAATAATGTCAAAATTGGGTAAAACTGTTTTTGAATCTACACTTTTGTATAACTTTTCTTCTGGCCATTCTATTACATAATTAATCTCACTTAAGAGATGAGAATTATCATTTTCATTTGATTTGAAGTTGTTGTTTCTGTCATAGTCATTTAGCCTGGAATATATAATATACATTAATCAACAACAACTCACTAAAACACAAATAACTTCAATTTAGTAGTTAAAAAAAAACAATCAAATTGTGGAAACAAATAGAAGTAGATTATGTTTACCTTTCAATGAGCTTTTCTTTAGTACCAGTGACTTTTGCGCCTCTCTTTTTGAGCTCAATTTTCAGTTCGGCAACCTTTCTTTGGCCGTAATCCATAATAAAATCAATAACTCTTCCAAATACATAAAATTTCACTAAAAAAAATAATACGTTCGGTAGGAATCTGTGCTATCTGACAGCTGTTTGGACCTGACGCATACGAAGCACCGCCTGGCGGCAAAAAAAGTATCGGAAACCCTGATTATTATAAGTCTCATTTTCGGGTCTCGACTTTACGCAATCAGTTGCTATGTACCAGACACCTTGAGCAGATCGTCGCTACGTCTCCGGAAAGTATCCCAAAATTTCGTTTTATTTTTGTAACAAGTGCCCAGTTACCAGCCCAGTACCTATTGATAAGTGGTGATGAAGATCGCACTGCTTTGAAGACACACACGTTGCTATCGGAGGGTATCATGACACGTCTACTCCATTGGTTGATTTGTTTGTCAATTTTGCGACAGATGGAAATAGCGCATAATCACTTCACCTTGCCAACTCTGAAGACTGTGTCGGTGATCTTGGGGCCGCGGGCATTTCTTTGAGCTTAGTTTTTCTTCTGTTGTAAAGAAGATTTGATTAGAAGTTTTACGTCAGAAGTATACGGGCTGGTTATACCTCCAGCTATCAAAAGCTATGAACTCTTTGTAACCGTTAGGCTGGTTTATAAGATAGGTAGATCCATAAAACAGGTAGGTAATATTAGTAAACTATTTATGGTGTTACTTCCACTCACATACAGTTATGTTCTAGTAAGGGATCACTGGTCTGACGTATGGGGCGAAGTCCAGGCGCTGTTTCTGAAGTCTCGCAAACAGCCAGCTAGCGGGGGAAAGCCGATGATATGTGGGTCGGCTGGCGGTGATGGCTGTTGATATGATGGTAGTACAACAGTCTATTAGCTCACGGTTATACGTATGTGCTAGGTGGTTCTGGCCAGCATTAGGGAGACTTAACAAAACTGCATACGCTCATTCACGTTCAGCAGCTCTTAAAGGGAGTTTAGAATTTCTGAGCGCTAAGTATGACTTAGACAGACAGACCCCGGCAGAAGGGTTAGGAAATAGACAGAACAGATACAATATCTGCTATTGTTAAAATAAGTAAGAACTCACCCCAGCGTGACTGCATTAAGATTATTATATATTTTGAAAGTGGGTGAGCAGGTTCAGCGAACCTGGCTGGTTACTTCGGCAGTACATATGCTAAAATTGGAACGATACAGAGGAGATTAGCATGGCCCCTGTACAAGGATGACACGCAAAATCGAGAAATGTTCCACATTTTTTCGATTGCGGGCGCTCGAGGTGGCGGCACCGAACGCCTGATGCAACCCCCCGAAGACGACGATATCTTGGGAGTGGTCCCAAGATATCGTGGTAAGGGTGTTGGGGGCAGTAAGGAGTGCCCCCGGGTGCTTTAACAAAGCAAAGCGAGAGAGGGGCACCGTTGGCATTCCGAACAGAGATCCCAGGACCCCTCATATGGTGAGCATCGTGGGGTTTTAGCCTGTCCGGTCTAACATTTTCGTTACCCTCACAGCGGAAGATATCCATGATTATCATTCCCCACGAATAAGGTAAGCAGATTCAGCGAACGTTTCGCAAGCAGTCTCCCAATGAACAATAAAGACCAAACCAAGCATTTCCAAATTAGAAACCCGTGAACAGTGATTTACGTGTGCCCGCGGATTAAAATATATTTAAAGGTTTCTTAGAATAATAATTAAAATTGGAATTAAATAAAAAATATTTTAAAATTAGAATATAATATTTTATTTATTGATAAGTATCCACTTAGTTACAATTATTTTTAAGGTTGCATTTATATGCAAAGTTACATCTCCTAACTTTAATAATAGTCGTTCTAAAATTTCGAGCTTCGTTTGCCACTTGACGTTGCCAATGTCTAATTAGTTCTAATATAAATTATTATAAAATACAATATTAAAAAAGAACAGACAAACACGAAGTATTAAAAAAGAGACAAATACAAAGTATTAAAAAAGAGCCTTTTTGGCTCATTTTATTACTTCTCCTTTTTATGTAATATATAGTATACTATCTCTTTATAGAGCGTGGTAGCTCAGGGGCTAAGCGCTCGTTGTAAATTTCATAGTACTCGAGCAAGCCGGGTTTGATCCCCGCCGGCACCAACGAAATTGTAATTGCGGTTATAGGTGCTGATTTACCAAATGCTTGGCGGTGAAGTAAAACATCGTGAGGAAAGCTACATGGCTAAAAAATAAGAAAAAAATATATTTCGAAGACATGTAAAGTTCGCCAACACGCATAGGGGCAGCGCATTTCCTTGCTAAAAACCTCTCAGGAATGAGAGGAGGCCTGTGCTCAGCAGTGGAACTGGTGGTATATAACTCCTTAATATATAATATAGGACTATACATAGTGCAACAGTACCATAGTAGTCGGTCACTCAACTAGCCCATATACATGTATAAGTACACTCTTGGGTATGCGTCTCCGGCAGCTCCCTTATATAAGCAATCTCTACACGAACACCTTGTATACATGAACACGCTGCTACTCTACACAAATACATGTATTTTTTACATTTGTTTCAGGTTTTTATATGTTCGGTAACATGGACGTGCTCCAATCAGCAAGCTCGATATGGAGATGTATAGCTGAAAAGTTGAAGGCGCAAAACGCTGTAGGAAGGAGGATTGTGCTGTACTGTGAGACGCACAAGCAAAATATGTACAACGTTCGTAAAATTTTGTTGCGTTCTTATAGTGCGATTGTGTAATTTTAGTGGGAATCGTTCGCCGGTGGAATTTATTTTCATTAAAAAAATGTTATTGTATCGTGAAGGCAGTTCACATACATAAATAGCAAAGGGACAAACATCCAGACCCGGACCCATATAAATAATTATCCTGTGCGGTTTTCGAACCAGCGGCCCTCGGCGCCGTAATTCATCGCTAAGCCATTACGCCACGGAGCCGATTGGTATACATATTATGTGCCGATATGATAATATACCTCAAATAAGATTTATTCATAATGCGTTCATTACAACCTGTCAAAATGTTACTGCTTAACAAAGGAATTCCCTATAGATTGCTTCATAGGGAGATAGATTCTTATATTGGGAGTTAGCTAAGTTTAACTCTGTAAGCTGTTATCAGAAAGTTAAGTTTAACTTTTCGAAGTTGTTATCAGGAAGTTAAGTTTAACTTTTTAAGTTGTTATCAAAAAATGAAGTTTAACTTTTTAAGTTGTTATCAGAAAGATGCGGTTGCACGTCCCCTAATTTATTTCCCTCTGTATTCTCTTACGCCAGCTATAGGATGATAATAAGGTAGTGGGATTTCTTGACGCGACTACTCAGCGATATTAATTTAAAAATGGAGTGTTAGTTTGTTATCTGTACTGAAATATTTTTAATTTGTAAAGAGATATATTTATTCTATATTTGTCGTATATCTGTTTGAAAGTGATAAAAGGACCAGAGTGAATAAAAGGCAAGGACAATAGGTTATAGAGGACGGAAGACGTTAAAGCTGTACCATGGTGATTACTTTTTTTGTTAAGACGATAAGAAGGTTATACGGTCGCCGTGTAGATTAAATCTGTTCTCATATTTTAAATCAACCGTTTTCTTATGCCGATCTTCAATGCATCCGTTCAACAATAATATAAAAGACATTGCACCAAACCTCAAACGTAGCCAAAAACGCCTTCCTATTATTAAAGTTACACAATTGCCTTGCTGTTTTTAGATACTAATGTCATTGTATTATTTAAAAAAAAATGGAAGCCTACTTTAATTATATTCAGATTTTATTGTTTATACCGGAAAACCTTTTTTACCGTCTGGAAAAAAATAGTGTGTAACATGTGAACGGAGTAGAAGCCTATGGCACTGATATTTAAAAAAATATTTTTAATTAAATAAATAAATTAATTAAATTCTATCGAAATTCAAATCATATCCACCCTTCTTTACGAACTACAATTTAATAGGCTTCTTTGATCTTGTCACTTCGCAGGGTCATAGGTTCAAGAGCAAAGGGCAAACTATATGTTCAAAAAAAATTCTGACGTTTAATTAAAAAATTTTATTTTTATTATTTCTAAAATGTCAGTGTCATAGGCTTCTACTCCGTCCACATGTTACAACCTATTTTTTTCTAGACGGTATAAAAGGTCATCCAGTATAAATGAATGACGTACCACAGTGTGCTCAACGTGCAGTGACGGTATAAGAATATTCTCTATCCCATATAAAACCTAAGAAAAAAACTGCGCGTACCTACCTGCCTGCCAGGCAGAGTAACTTGGCAAATATCTCCCAAGAGGCAATCAATGAGGTACACTTTGTTCTGCAGTGGACTTTAAATAGTCTGGTATGAAAGGATGAATGATTTATTCCTCAAACACATCAAACGTACAAACAATATAAAATCATCATACACAAAATATGTTAAGTTGACCACATGATAGACATCGGACTCGGTGCTGCAGCAGTGTCGCAACGGCCTCGACGATATTAATCTGTCGGTGTCTCTTATTTACTGAATAATTTTGTACACCATATAATGACATATTTTTGTAACCATATACATATAATAAAATAAGTACCCAGATGACCGAGCTTTGCTTTTTTTTTAAGTTACATTTATATACAAATTACATGAGTAATAGTTTTTGATCTTATTGACATAATAGAAAAAATTAAACTGGTTATTTGAATGAAAATCATGAATGCAATTAGTTTAATTACCGCGAACCACGGAACTCCCATATCACGCCCGACCGACATCCCACCTGAGCTATTACGATCGTTAGTAGTCTGTCAAAATGTACTTTCTTATATTGTAGCAGTTTTTTTATTGCCTGAAAACACGGACAAAAGGACATTTTCTAAAAATAAATCCTAGCTAGATCGATTTATTGCCACCGAAACTCCCTGGACACTAAATTTTATGAAAATCGTTGGAGCCGTTTCCGAGATTCCGATTATATATATACAAGAATTGCTCGTTTAAAGGTATAGGATATGAGTAATCCATTATTATAATCGATAATCCCGTCCTGCGCAGAAAGCTAGTCTTGTTGCTGTAACCAAAATTAGGTCTAAAGGTCATTCATTATATATAAGATGGTTATAGCTCCATCCAACACCATCTTCTAAATATTTCGCTTAGGCGCCATTCGACATACATGGGAGGATGTATTTTAAGCACTACAAATTTTTACTTTAAAAAGATCAAAATAAATCTTCTTTTTTTCTTTTTCTTTTAAAAAAACGTTACCTCCACACTAGGATTTTCTCCCGTATCGTGGGGGCAGTTTACAAACACAAATTTCGCAAGGAATAACGTCCAGGCCCGGAACAATTACTTGTGGCCTACAAATACTTGTTCCGTGTGGGAATCGAACAAGCGGCCCCCAGCGCAGCCACACATTGCTAAGCCACGGAACCGTCAAATCTGATGTAATGGCACAATAAAGATAAAGATAAATAACTTATGCTTTGAAAAAAAACCTAATTTAATTTGACTTCGGTAAGCTTTTTCGGTATGAACAAGAAACGTACTATTTTTATCACAGAATGAATTATAAATCATAGGTTATTCATCTGACGAGTGTTGTGTAGGTAATTTTTTATATTGTTTTCATATGGTTTTAAAAAATTTATTTTATTGTTTTCTGTGTAAATTGGAACACATTAGTCACAGATAAAATATATACTTAAGATTAGAAATGTCAATATTTTATATTACAACAAATTATATAATATATTAGTCTATTAATTATAAGAAGAGTTGGTGACATTCGATGAGATTACATCGATATGTTTAATCTGCGTGTTTATGCTAGGAAATAGATGTTCTAAAAATGGCAATGCATCAACCCAGGTAGCACTCTTCCTCAAATCGTGATGCAGTTTTACATGAGCATCTTAACTTATAAATGTGCACCAGAAATAGAATAAAGAGTTACATTCCGTTAAGTACCACATCAGCGGCAGAATTAGCAATAACTTTGGAATCATCGAGCGAGAAGCGTGTCATTTTTTGCACTCTCCCTATGTCCGCATGGCAAACAAGAGATCTGCCAGTACAGAGTACACATCTGGCCGCCGAGCTTCAGTACGTATTGCAAGCCGACAAGCTTCGGGTACCGCATCTACGTCACAGTAACCGAGTGTAGCCGGCCACGGTCTACTAACCATGTGAACATGCTGTACTAACCATGCATACAGTCGTACCAGAGAGATACATCTTAAAGCGAGTTTCTACAAACTGCCGAAGAAGATTCGTCAGATCTTACTTACCATCCATCAAGTGTAATATCCCTCTACAAGATGCAGTTTCGTACAAGCTTGTTTTGAATGTGGTCTCTTATATAGGGCAAACAAAAAGCTCTATAAAAACCCACATGAAATAACATATCGCTGACGTGCAACACTAACGCTCCGGAAAGTCTCCAGCTTGTGATCATATCCTAGACGGTCCCCGCCAATATATCAGACTTGATAGACCACAAATCCTCGCGAAAGGAGACCGATTCCTACTAATGAAAAATTTATGTGGTAGAGCCATGCTGCAGTTATATTAGATGTATAGTTGTAGCACGAATGGGTCGGCTCGACCGGGGAAGGACCACGCTCTCACAG